CACACAGTCTGAATCAAATTGGGCTTAACTGACACTTTTGCAAAGGCTAACCAGCACAAAGACATCCTCAGTAGGCTTAATTAATAGTAATTATTCTGTGAGGTAGAATAATAGAATAATAGTAATTTTTCTTTGATAGACAATTGACTCTTGTCTATCAAAGTGCAAGACATCTCAGTGAATACAATCCACTTAAACAAATGGGCAAAGGACCTGAATAGACACTTCTCCAAAGAGGACATATAGATGGCCAATAGACATATGAAAAGATGCTCAATGTTACTAATCATCAGACAAATGCAAATGAAAACCACAATGAGATATCACCTCACACCTGTCAGAATGACTGTCATTAATAAATCAACCAACAGGTGCTGACGAAGATGTGGAAGAAAGGGAGCCCTCGTGCACTGTTGGTGGGAATGCAGACTGGTGCAGTCACTACGGAAAACAGTATGGACTTTTCTCAAAAAATGAAAAATGGAAATGCCTTATGACCCAGGATTCCACTTCTGGGAATATATCTGAAGAAATCTGAAACAGTAATTCGAAAGAGTATATGCACCCCTATGTTCATTGCACGCTATTTACAATAGCCAAGATTTGGAAGCAGCCCAAGTGCCCATCAGTAGATGAGTTATAAAAAAGCTGTGGTACATTTATACAATGGAATACTACTCAGCTGTAAAAAAGGAAGGAAATCTTACATTTTGCAACAGCATAGATAGACCTGGAGAGTATTATGCTAAGTGAAATAAGCCAACTAGAGAAAGACATGTACCATTTGATTAAACTGATATGTGGAATCTAATGAAAAAAATGAACTAACAAGCACAATAGAGACAGACTCATAGGTACAGAGAACAGACTAACAGCTGTCAGAGGGGAGGGAGTTTGGGGGGCTGGGTGGAAAAAAGTGAAGGATTAAGCAAACAAATAAACTCACAGACACAGACAACAGTATGGGATTACCAGAGGGAAGGGGGTGGAAAAAGGGAAGAGGGTAAAGGGAGGATAAATGGTCATGGAAGGAGACTTGACTTTGGGTGTTGAACACAATACAATATACAGATGATATATTCACAGAATTATACACCAGAAACCTATATAATTTTATTAACCAATAAATTCAATAACGTGTTTTTTTTCAAGTATTGGTCAATGGTTCTAATTTAGTAGGTGGTTCTAGGGCTTTTATTTATTTATTTATTTGAGAGAGAGAGAGAGAGAGAGAGAGAGAGAGAGAGAGAACGGGAGAACGAGAGAGAGAAACATCAATCTATTGCCTCCCATAAGAGCCCTGACAGGGGACTGAACCTGCAACCTGGGTATGTATCCTGACCTGGAATAGAACCGGTGACCCTCCAGTGCATTGGACAATGCCCCAACCAAGTGAGCTACACCAGCCAAGGTTAGGGCTATTTCTTTATGCTAAGCATGATATGCAGCACTCAGAACCAGCAAAAGATAGAAAAAAGTGTATAGTCCAGCCCTAGCTGGTTTGGCTCAGGGGATAGAGCATCGGCCTGTGGACTGAAGGGTCCCTGGTTTGATTCTATTCAAGGGCACATGCCCAGGCTGCAGGCTCCATCCCCAGTAGGGGGCGTGCAGGAGGCAGCCAATCAATGATTCTTTCTCATCACTGGTGTTTCTATCTCTCTCCCTCTTCCTTCCTCTCTGAAGTCAATAAAAATCTATTTTTTAAAAAAGTGTGTATTCTACAGGAGCTAATAATATAGTTACTTAAAACACACTCACCAAACTTTAAAAAACTAAATTCTAAAAACAAGAGGTAAGATTAAAAACAGAATGACATATCTTTATCTTTGTATAATAATTAATCCTGATCCCCAAAGCAGTTCTTAACCTTAGGAGTTTGGTTTAAAAGGGGACTGGTGTGTGTGTGACTCTTGTACATCTTCAGTGTCTGGTTTAAGTACCTCTGTTATTACGGGGCAAAACATCATTTTAGGTTTTTACTTCTTTTTAATATTATATCCAGATAATAATAAGTTTCACTTAGAAGTGACTATACATGCATGATCTTTCTGCTTTCCTTTAATAACCCATTATTATTAAAAATCTAATGAATTAATGTCAGTCTGACTCCAATTAAAATGGCAATGTAGGAAAGTACTATATCCCACTATGGATATAAGCCTCTAAAGATTAATGATTGGGTGGGAGGCCATGGAATCACTTATAGGCATTTAATTTAAAAAAAATCAAATCTCTTTGTTCTTGCTAAAGGTATATTTCTCAGTTTTCTTCATATCTATTCCCACTTGGTAAAGCCCCTAACCCTACCTACTCCACTGCACCAAAATCATTTGATCTTGAACCTTTAAGTCATCAGTGAGTCCTCCTGCTAGAAAGAGAAATCCATGCTACTCAATAGGCTTAGTTATAATTTTAAATTAAAAAATAGTCCAAAATATATTTTGTAACCAAGTCTGGCTAAAGAACATTAATCTCCAGAGCATCTTCCATTCAAGAGAGACATTCTGCACTCCATTGTTTTTCTTTCTCATCATATCATATATTCACTGATAGCCATACACAAATAATAAAAATCAAGAACACAATAAATACAGTAATATGCTTTTAACCTAGGTAGTGCTTTACATACATTCTGAACTGCCTTGTACTAAACCGTCTCAACACCAGTAACATACAATCAATGTCTTCAGATTATCTGAGATTTAATATGAACATCAATTTAAAATATGTCAAGAGTTCAAGATATACTACCCAAGTACCATATATTGCTAATGATATCCTCCCTTATAAAAACATGATCTTCTTTCTCCCAAGTGATACAGGAACCCAATCTCATTCATTGACATAATAAAAAGAATTCATCTTGGAAACAGGTGAAAAATCCAGTGCTTTAATATCACAAACTCATTCCTTCCTAATGATATGCTATCCTTCATTATAGCTCAGAGTAGAAGACATATGCATAGTTGTGATTCAAAGTACATCTGAATTTCAACAGTTTGATATTTATTTTCTTTCCCATTTACTTGGTTATTAACTGATCTCCAACCAAACTCTTCCAAAAATATCTTTAATAAAGGCTCTGAAAGAACTTCATTGCCAGTATTGTTATTAATTATTATTACACGAGGAAAATAAACCATTGACAGCAAGTGTTCAATTTAACAGAATGAATCACTAGCAGAGTCTGAGAGAGAATCCACGACTGACTCAGGACAATCCACATAATCACAAATAACAAGGGCAAACAATATTTTCCAAGCCCCACTATACCCTAGCATCCATTCCCCTCTCCCCCCACCTCCCAGGCACCTAAAGTCATTTTCACAGGGTCATATCAGCTATGTGGATTAATAGACTCTCCCATGATGTAGCAAAGATTAAATCGGACCCTTAGCATGGCTGCTAAGTTTAGTGGCTACTGTTGCTTTTTCTTTTGAACCCTCAGCTGCTTCTAATACCTACCTGATCTGCCTGGGGACAATCTAAAGGCAGCTGATTTTCCAAGACCTGTCAGCCTCTATATTTCCCTGGTGTGTGAGAGTGTGGAAGCGGGTACTGGAGGGGAGGAGTAAATACAGTGATAAGTCACTTAGGTTTGCCATGGTAGCACATTGGTAGGAATGAACTTTAAGCTATGAATAGAATTCCTTCCAGCCATTTCTTTTCAAAAAGGAATTTTGTGTGCCTTACAGAAAAATAAAATCCAAAACTTGTAAATAAAATCAAGAAAGCATAAAAACAAGAAAATTGAAGGTAATCAGGAGTTAAAAAAAAAACAACAAAAACCCAGATTAAAATATTCAGGAAAACTCTGAAATATACAACTGTCACAATGGAAACATTTCAGAGCAAAATGTGCTGCAATATGCTACTATGATTAAAAGCTATGTGATCTGGGGAACCTCTAACAAAAAGGAAAAGAACTAGGCAAATAGCTTTTTACATACTTTTCTAAAAAGGAAAGGCTGCAATATTGTCATAGTTACACAAAGGTAGATACATCTCTCATCTTCATCTACTATTAAAACATATCTTCAACCATAGGTATTTAATTACATTACATCATATATGGTTTAATACCAAGAATAAACTTATTTTATGATACTAGTACAAGTGTTCTAATTGTGATCCCATCATAACCCATACGAAGGGTAATCAATTAGCACATGCTGTTTAAGCAGAAAAGATCCTCTCACAGCTTCCCTTGTACTTTTTAATTTATTTTTGTTTGTTTTTTGTAATGTACAAATATTACCGGTTATGTACAAATGACAGAATTAGGAGCAGCATGAAGTACATCATATGTTCCTACTGTAGGCTGAGTCCCGGTCTTTGTTCCAACAGTCTAAAGCCGCTGGACGGAAAGCTAAGTATCCATCTATTAAAACATATTTCTACATTATTGCTGGCAAAAGTTCTTCTGATAGGTTTAGTCATCGTGATTATTCCTGCCTGCATTTGCTTCTTTCATACAAATCTCTTTCAATCCTAGGAACCTGCAGTACCACCACCCGGGAAAACAGGTCGGTGGCATGACAATCTGATAAGACAATGTAAAGGGTAGATATTGAAGAATGCAAAGTTATTTTCCCAATGAAAGAGTTCGGAAGTAATTCTGTATCGGTGACAATTTTTCTTTCTTTCTTCTTTTTTTTTTTTTTACCAGCTACGCACCTATCTAGATAACTAACATTCACCTTGTTCTCAATGAACAGGATATCCTTTCCCTCAATCTTGCAATCTCCCTGAACAGTTTTCATGGCACAACTCAAACAAAAAACATTAGCCACGCCCTTTATACCCAGAGTCAAGCCACCTTTTGCTTCCCATCCCCTCGCCAAAGTCGAAAAATGTACATTTCACCTAAAAGGGTTTGCACCAGTTCTCTTAACCCGAGTCAGACAGACTCTTTTTCAGCCGTGCCTTGATATAATTCCTACGGGAAGAAGCTTTTTCCCGGGCAAGGTGCAGGCGCCAGAAGACACTCTGAGGCTTACCTCCCACACACCTGCAAGCTCTGGCGGGATGCGGGAGCTGCTGCTCAGAGGACTGCGCTCCGCTCCGCTCCTCTCGCGTTCCTGCTCTCCTCTCTCCGGGAAAACTAAGTCCAGGCTGCGCCTTCGGCTGCTACGGGGACACAAGCTCCGCCTTCCCCGCCTCTAGTTGGCGGATTCGGCGGCCGTGGCTCCTCCCCCTGCTGTTCCGCAGCTGCCCCGGCTGGAGGCGGCGGGAAGATGCTGTCCGGGACCTCCCGATCCCTGCACTTCGGCAGCTATTCGGCTGCGTCCCTCTCCCTGGGGACCTCTCTCCTGTCTCTCCGTAGCTTCACACCCGGTGCTAACCCCCCTCCACCCCCCGCCCCGCTCCGCCAGGGCACCTCCGCGAGGAGTCCAGGCTCAACCTCTCTCTCTCCCCGACTCGCAGGTCTGGCCGCCCGATGTGTCTGGGGCTCGGCCGCTTCCGTGCAAGCTGCTCCCGGGGCCAGGGACCGTCCCCACTCTGTACCGTCCCTCCACCCCGGCGACTCCCCACATGCGTCCATTCCGCCCGTGTCCACAGCTCAGTAGCTCCACGTTCCCGACTTTGAACTCTGCCCACCCACCCACTTCCCTTCCTTCCTGGGTTCCGCTAGCCCGCCCCCACAATGGGTGAGTAGCCGCGGGCCGACCCGGCACCCTGATTGGCGCAGGTGAGAGCTGACCCCGCCCTTCCTCCTCTTTCCGTGCACCCTCTCAGTTCAAGTCACCAACTCCCGCAAAGGCAGGGAACTCTCCTACCATTGGCTAGAAGTGTCCCCACCCATCGTCTTAGGCTCCACCGCACGGCCTGCCGGGAAGTGTAGTCTTGCAGGTGCATGAAGTGCCGACGCCGCCGGCGAGTGGAACTACGAGTCCCCATAGGCCCCTGCGCGACTCCGGCTGGGCAGGATTCCGGACAACGCCTGGTTCCTCTCGGGTCCTTCTGGCGTCGCCGGAGTGAATTGATCCGGGAGTTGAAGAGGGCTCGAAGGTGGGAAGTGAAGTCAGTGCCTCAGTGGCCGGTAAGGTGCGGCTGTTCCGTCTCCGTTCCCGTAGCCCTGCGCAGAGCCTAAGAGGTTTGGGGTCACCCCAGGGCCGTGGCGGGGGCACTCGGGCTTGGTTCTGGCAGGCGGAGCGGACGGGGCTGGGAACGGGGCCCTATGGGCGTCAGCGAGGCTCCCCTACGCGAGTGGCGTAAAGCGGTGTGTAAGCGCCGCTCACCCCGCTGGGGCCCGGACGCCTCCAGGAAGTCTCCTCTGGGTGGGGGCGGAGGGGAAGGGCGAGGTTGGCCTCTGGTGCCCCCGGAGAAGGGAGGGGGCGGATGTACCTGGGGTGGGGTCCTCGCCAGGTGTGGCTTGGTGTGGGGGGGCGAGGCTGGTGTTTTCTCCGCTGTAGAAGCAGGAGAGGGAGGAGAGGAGGAAGGGAAATGCGCGTAGGACTCTGTTGTTGGGGTGACTCAGGTTATGCCCTTTGGGGAAAGAGAGCTGTACCAGCAGGAGTCAGATGTGGACAGGGATCTAGGGATTCAGTTCCAGGTTCACGATGTGGCCCCTCCAAGGAGGTGGTTCTGCCCGAAGCAGAAAGCCCTGACCCTCTTAGGTGTAATTGCTGAGATGCGTGTGCCCCTCGACTGCTTGCAGAGAGCATTCGCCTTGGGATGCTGATGGGAAGACGGAGGGGAGAGTGAGGTGCCCAAGGTCACACCCGTGGGGACAGATGGGAGTTTGTAGTCCAGATTCTGGGTCGGCTGCTGCCCCCGAGAGAGAGCGGGTTGTGTTTTCTGAAGAGGGTGGAGGAAGTTGGAAAGGAAAGCATGTTAGGTATTTTTAAGAAGCCATTTGTGAGGTGAAGACCTTTTGAACTTGGGAGGATTTCCTCCATTAAAAAAAAAAGGACACATTCTAACCTTTTGGGGAAAAAAAATCGGTTTCAACTTACATATTTTTTTTCTTTTATTAGGGGTATATAGTAAGTGATGGACTGTACTACTACTTTAAACAGTAGACAGTGATATGGGGGAAAGTCAGTTGAAATAGTACTTCCCACCCCTTAGTTAAAAGATGATTATTTTCCCTTCCTACCTTAGGGCTGTTTTTTTTTCTCTCATTTCATAAAACTGACCACAATGGGATTGAAATTCTTTCATAAAACTTATTTTACACTTTTCAAAAATAATACAGCATCAAGAGAGTTTAGTGTGATCATTATTAGAAAAGAAGATACATTGCATTTCTTGGAGGCAATAACACATTTTTGTTGATTTTTTAAAAAAATTTCTTTTCCCCTTGTTTTCTTGACTCTGGGATGTTTGCATAAATAATACCAGGCTCGTACACATTTCATTTTTCTTGGCATCATCTATAATTTTTAACTCATTCTTAATTTAAATTAAAGAATGGAAAAATGGGACATTTATGTTTTATATTAAGTAGAAAGTACTGTACTTGTTCTAGTCTTACCCTGTACAGGTGTTTCTATGACCAGTTAAAGCTCATGAATATTATTGGGTAGTTAGTTCTTTAATAGAATTTGGAGTGTGTTCATTGACTTCAGGATTTCTTCTTGGTAAGTTTATAAACAAGAGTCAGGTGAGAGCAGGTAATCAGTCCTGGTTTACTGTTGTATACATTGAAATATGCTGCATTTTGAATGTACTTTGCAGTTATTAATACTGTAAACGCAAAAACATTTTCTAGAATCAGAGGTATTAGGTTCCCCTATGATTGAAGTTAAGATGGTCTGGAAATTAATATGACATTTGAAATAGGAGAGAGGTATTGTACTGTAGAATGAAGTAAAATCAGGGATAACACAGCACCACGAGGAATGCAGTACAGAAAGAAGGAAGACCCGCTAAACAAATGGAGAATTATGTGGGGGTTACCTGGCTTTGTGCTGAATTGGACGGATGCTGTAGTTTAAGTAGACCATACGCTGAACATGAGTGAGTGATTGATAGGAAAGCAAGAATGTTATTTTATGGAAGGCAATGTAGGCATCTACTTTTTGTTGGAGAAGTGTGAGATGAGTTTTTCTGCCTTTTGGCATGCAGCTATGAGGTTGTGGAATGAGCTTTTGAAGTAAAAGTCAGGAAAATTTGGAAGTAAACAATATAATGCACTTGATCAGCGTGTGTTATTTTTTCCCTTCGTTTAGTTTTACCACTAACTTCTCTTCATTTCTGAGGTCAAGTTTTTATACTTCACCTATGTTGTCATGATGGAGTAATGTTTCTGTATCTTTCAGTCACATACTGGAATACTGTGGTCATTTTGGATATCTGCACATTGAATAATTTAAGGTTCACAGGTTTAGGTGGGCACTTGCATTTTTATAGCGATTTTGCTGGAGCCTTGTGTCAGCCATTTGACATCGTCTCTTACAGGACTTAGAATGTCTCCCATTACATCTTTCTCTTTGTCTTTAAGGATATAAGGTCATAAGAATATGTGTGTTATCATTGTATTCCCAGTAGTTAAAATATTGAGTACCTGTTTACAAAGAGAATGAAGAGTTTTAGATTGGTTAAGTGCAAAGACATGTAACTGGTCACTGGTGGAACCAAGGCATTATGCAGGTGTTCTTTCTGTAGATCTTGAATATTGTAGACTCAACTCAGTTTCCATAGATTATTTATTTTGCATGAGAAAAAGACTTTAAGTGACTTAAATATTCAGATACTGTTACCCTCTTACTCTGTTTTATACTGACAATTTATATTTTGTCTCCTATCTAGCTCTCTGCCTTTATCCCCAGCCTTTCTCATTTACTGTGCCTTTCAATTACTAGGTACATAAACTCTTTCCTGACTTGGGGGACTTTGTATATGTTCTCTCCCCCCTGCCTGTCTGCTTCTCTTCCCCTTCCCAAAGCTGGCGAACTTCTAGTAACTTTCAAGTCTCAGTTTAAATGTCAGGGGAACTTTTCCTGACCTCCTTGACCGTTCCTTCCTAAAATTAGAGTAAGTTCCCATGATGTCTTCACCACCCTCTGTACTTCTCCTTTGTAGCAGCATCACAATAGGAACTTAACTGTTTCTGTATTTATTTGATAAATGTCTGAATCCCTCACTAGGCTATAAGCAGGGCCCTGTCATATGTCATGTGCCTTAATTCTCTTACACAGTATCTGGCATACAGTAAATGCCCGGTAAATATTTGCTGAATGAATGAATAAATGATTGAACAAATGAGTGCATTCATGCACAGTGCCTCCGGCACTCTGCTAGGGACAGAAATGCAGAAATGAGTGAAGCAGAAATGCTTCCCCCCCTCAGATAAAAAGGAGTTACTGACAGAAGTTTAATATAAATTGTAGAAAGATATTTCTTGGAGGGCTCTAAAATCAGGGCAGTTGCCCAGCCAGTGTGGCTCAGTGGTTGAGCATGGACCTAAGAACCAGTGCAGGAGATCACAGTTCAGTTCCCAGTAGGGCACAGGGCCCCAGTTGTGGGCTTGGTCCCCAATGTGGGGTCTGAAGGAGGCAGAGGATCAGTGAATCTCTCTTATCATTGGTGTTTCTGTCTCTCCTCCCTTCCTCTCTGTAATCAATAAAAATATATCTTAAAAGACAAATAAAATCAGGATAGTTTTCTATGGGCAAATGACACAAGAGTCATTTTCTATTACAGCAAACTTTCTCTATAACAGCATTTTAAGAGACCTTATCCTGTCCTGTATTTTGCAAGCAACATTCATTATAACAAAATAGAAGAAACTAACTTTTAATGAATTCTCTTCTTGCCTAAAGTTATCTAATTTTGTCCTCAACAAAATATTTCCTTTTTACTTTGTTGTTGCATTTTGATTTTTAACCATGGTATCTTCCTTTGACTTTTATGTTTAATATTACTTGCTTTAGACAGGTACCTTTGGGCTTCTTGAAAAAATTCATATTTCGTTAAGTTTTATGGCAATATTTTATTTGCTATCAACCTAGATACTTATGAGAGTAAAAATATCATATTTTATTAACATGTAAACTAAATTTCAGGAATAAATTTGTATTAGATTTTGGTCCTGAAAAATTCTTTAATCCTTTGCAGTACAACAGGAATGGACAAAGAATAAATTCAAAGCTCTGAGTTGCTGTGGTCTTATATGCTTTCCTGAGTTTACCAATTCACTCTCCCACAAGATATTGTCAAAAAAGTGATGTTGATATTTGGCTTTATAATTTGATAATTCTCCCAGCTTTTATTAAATACAAGTCTTTGATAAATTCTAAACTCACTTTCTTAAAAGTCAGTCCTTCTGTTATTAGAATCTTGGATAAAATTTTATCTTATAACAAAGATGTGGAGGATAAAACTGAAGTACTACTTCTTACATGTTGTTGGTTTCTTCAGGTCAAAATGATAGATAATGTTACTAAGAATTTGAAGTTAATGCCATGATAAATAAATGTTCTCCATAATATAAACTGTAAAAGTGATTTAGAAGTTAGTGTGATTGATTGTATATATTATTGCATTTGAAATGTCATGAAAAGTTGCAGTCTCAGAGACTTTGGTTTTAGGAATATACAGTGTAAAAAATGAAAGCACCTTCATTGCAACAATTAGAAATAATTTATTTACAGAAAGGTAAAC